GTATGTGTATGAAGAAATGAATTGGTGTGACTATACAACCAGAGATATGAAAAATTGTGCTCTATATGTGTAATAAGAATTGTTATGCATTCCACTGCCATATATAAATTTTAAAAAGGAGGGGGGAAAATAAACTGATAAAATCTTACACAGAGGCTAGAGGAAATGATGGTAAAGAACATCAACTGTAGAACTATTTCCGCCCCCACACACATTTTTTATTGGTACATTATAGTTATACAAATAATGGGTTTATTGTTACGTTTGCACACATGCACACAATATAACAATATTATTTGGCCAATATCACTCCCCAGCACTTTCTCCCTCCCTCCTATCCTCTCACCCACTCCTTGTCCTCTTCCCTTCCTCTATTCTACTGATCTCCCTTTGATTTTCATGAGATTCCCCCACCCCACCTTTCTGTTCTTTTCTTCATTAGCTTCCACACAAGTGAGAAAACATATGACCCTTGACTTTCTGAGTTTGGCTTATTCCACTTAACATAATGTTCTCAAGTACCATTCATTTTTCTATAAATGACATAATTTCATTTTTATTTATACTGAATAAAACTCTATTGTGTATATACACCACATTTTCTTTATTCATTCATTCATTGATGAACACATAGGCTGGTTCCATAGTTTGGCTATTATGAATTGTGCTGCTATAAACATGGGTACTCAGGTGTCACTATAGTATGATGCCTTTAATTCTTAAGGATAAATATCAAGGAGCTGCCTAGTATGTGTGAGGCACTGGGTTAGATCCTCAGCACCACATAAAAATAAATACATAAAATTAAGTCATATAAAAAAGCAATGTACCTTCAGAAAAAGATAGTTGGTATAAAGAACTAACTGAGCAACTTGATTAATGGATGAATGCCAATCTGTAGAAAGATTCTTTTTTTATTTCATAAGAGTTTTATTGTGGTAAAATATACATAACATAAAAATTGCCATTTTAGACATTTTGCAGTATAATATTCAGTGGCATTAATTACTTACACAATGTTGTACAGCCATATACCACTGTGTATTACCAAAAATTCCTATCACCCCAAACAGAAACTATAGCCATTAAACAATAACTCCCTATTCCCCCAGCTTGCAGCCCTTGGGAACCTCTTTCTGCTTTGTGTCCTTATGAATTTGCCTATTCAAGATAGTCCCTTTAAGTAGCATCATACAGTATTTGTCCTTTTGTCCCTGGGTTATTTCACTTAGCATAATGTTTTCAGAGTTCATTTGTAGAAAGATTCTTAATGGTAAATCCCAGTTTCCATCCTGCAACTAGTTTTAGTCATTATTTTAAACTACAATCTGGAAAAAGTTTTTCAATATCAGAAATCATAGGGAAATATCCCAAAACATTATACAACACAAAAATAATTTTAAAAGCTCTTCAGAGACTGAATAATACACTAATAAATAACAAATGAAAATTCACTGAGGATAAATGTTAGGACCAGCATATGACATCAACCTCTGACTTTTTCCAATACTTCTTAGCCTGTGAAATCAGCTTTGCAATGTTTCTGAACTAATCTTGAATAACATGAAGAGTCACTGTCACACATTATATTTCTGATTTTAACATAGTATAATGGTTAACATATAGACATCAGAATACCTGAGTTCAAACCGTGCTCTTAGCTGTGTGCCTCTCTATGATTTACTTTCCTCATTCATTAAAAAAAGGTATTAACACTATCTACTTCATGTGGTTATAATAAGAACTGAATGAGATAATATATTGAGATGTTTGGTCCCTTTTTAGTTATGCTTATTGGTTTTCAGCTCCCCAGTGAGAATACAGCCTTGTTTTGAGCCCTAACCTATTTGACCAGGTACCTAAAAACATTTAGATCTCACCACTTCCCTGAAAGAAGAGGACTTGGTCCCCTATATTCTCAAACTTTGGCTAGGATTGTAATTCACTAGTGTTCTGGAGCCATGGCATTACAACTAATCTAATATCAAATTTTATCACTACTGAAAACAACCTATTATAATCATACCTCAAAAAATGAACATGGAATACTTTGTCAATAAATAAAGTCTGTCTTTGACATAACACTTTTGAACACTGTAGAAAAAAATTGACTGCCATCCCTCAATATTCAAGGATCCTCCTAGGTTGTTCATCCCAGCCATGAATCTTCACTAATTTATTTCCTCTCATCTTCTACCAGCCTATGCTTGAGGATTCATCATGCCTAAAGCTATGCTTCCCTGAGTTTAGTCTGAATAGCTATATAGAGATGAGTAAATTAACAATTAACTAATTGTGGATGTAAAAGCAAAGGAAGGTAGTTTGTCAACCCTTAGCTCAACATGAGATAATTCTAGGGTCTAGACCTGCTGAGCTACTAACGTTGAACTGAGGTTAAAACAGACAAAAATGGATCAATAATACAGCCACCTATAAAAACCAACATGCTTTTAACCTATTTTGTGTGTGTGTGTGTGTGTGTGGTGCTGGGGATTGAACATGGGGCTTTGTGCATGCGAGGCAAGCACTCTACTAACTGAGCTATATCCCAGCCCTGCTTTTAATCTATTTTAATATATTCTTAGTAACTAAAAAGATAGAAGTATTTGAGTTCCACTCTGTATGTAAGACCACACATTGAGTACCATATATTTGGTAATGGATGTGGCACTTTAAAATGAGAGAGCCAGACGAGGTGCACACACCTGTAATTTCATGGACTTGGGAGACTGAGGCAGGAGGATTACAAGTTTGTGGCCAGCCTCAGCAACTTAGTGAGGCTCTAAGCAACTTTTTTGAGACCCTGTCTCAAAATAAAAATAAATAAGAAAAATGGCTGGGAATATGGCTCAATAGTTAAGCACCGCTGGGTTCAATTCCTGGTACAAAAATAAATAAATAGAGAGAAAATAATTCATGAGGGACATAATACTTGAAGAATTATCATGTGGTAAGGGAATTAAGACCAAAAGAGAAGCCAATCACCAAAAACCAAAGGTCAAATGTACTCTCTGATAAGCAGATGCTAACATGTAACAAGGGGTTTGGGAGGAAGAATATAAATTTAGTGGATTAGACAAAAGGGAATAAAGGGAAGCGGGGGTAGGAATAGGAAAAACAGCGGAATGAATTGGACATAACCTTCCTATATTCATATATGAATACACCATCGGGGAAAGTCATATTCAAACATTTTATACAACTATACAATAGGATCCTAATTAGAATAAATTATACTTCATATAGATATGTCAAATATACACTACTGTCATGTATATCTAAAAAGAACAAATAAATAAAAAAGACTCCAGAAGAAAGGAAGTAATGTTTTACAGACCTGTTTGAGCAGGATCCTATGGCCAATTATGACCAATTGTATTATCATTATTAATCCATAAAAAAATCAATCAAAGTACTAAACACTGGATATTCTTAGGTCAATTTAAGGGTAAATATAACAGAAAAGAGCTATAATAATGATGGCAGGAATCTGGATGCATGTGAATAATATCTGAATAATGTTTATGTCCATATATCATAATAACTACACTCATGTCAAGTCTCTCTGACCTTTGCATAATTCATTCAAGTTTAAAGGAAAGGAGGGAAGATTTCATTTATAAATTGACGAAGAAGAATACAAGTTTCCTTTTATATAGGCTTTCAGACATAGGTTACAAGACAATTTATCAAGCCAGACATGGTGGTGCACACTTGTAATCCCAGAAACTCAGGAGGTGAGGCAGGAGGATGACAAGTTAAAGAACAACTTCAGCAATTTAGCAAGGCCCTAAAAAAGTTAGGTAGACCCTGTCTCAAAATAAAAAATAAAAAGGGCTGGTGATGTGGCTCAGTCAAAAAGTACCCCTGGGTTCAATCTTATTATCCCCATCACGCCCCGCCCCCCCAACACACACAAAGACAATTTATTGGGAACTTTGATGGACCAAATTGTATCTCCTAAAACCTCATATATTGAAGCTCTAATCCCCAATGTGATGGTATCTTGAGATGGAGCTTTTGGAAAGTAATTATGCTTAGATGATATTGCAAGGATGGGGCCCTGATGATGGAATTAATGCCTTATGAGAAGGGACATCAGAGAGTTTATTTTCTCCTTTTCATTATGTGAGGTGAAGCAGTAAGAAGGTAACTGTCTACAACTTAAGATTATTATGGAAGTTGAAGGTTGATTGAACTACATAGAATGGAGAAATGTCCAGGAAACTAATATAATAGCATAATTATAAGATAAAAAGAGTTTGCATTAAGGCTATATTAGACAGGAAAAGAAAATATTAATATTACTTTATAAAAAATAACTTGAAAATCATCTGAAAATTTGAGCCAGAGAAAATGGGAAGTAATTGAGAAAATTTTGCCAAAATTTTAGTACTGCTATGGGTATTAAATGACATTATTTAACTAAAGCAAAAAATACAGTAAACATAGAAGAGACTCAAATAATTAGACACTTAGCAAGACCCTGTCTCAAAAAAATAAAAAGGTCTGGAAATTTAGATCAATGGCAGAGCAGTCCTGAGTTCAATCTTCAGTCCTAAGGAGATAGGTGGTGGATTATACCCTCTTCTGCCTATGCAGTTGCATTTTTTAACACCTATGTGTTAATTGTTAGGAAGCTCTACATATCTAGTTATCCTGTAGGCTTTTGAAAATTACTAACTTAAAATTCTGCTCTTTACAGATATAGTTACAACTTTAGTTTAGGTAACATAAAAATATGAGAATTTCTAACTAAGATGAAATATGATCATTTCCAAAATTAGAGCAACACAGTTATAGAGCAGGATTTATGGAAATAAATATTCAGATTGATAATTGGCTATCCTAGTTGTACAGTTACCAGAAAAGTAGACTAAACAATATATATAAATGTTCAACATTATGCCTTGAAGAATGCATTAAGTTCTCAATAAGATAAGAAAATTTAAAATTCCCTCAACAAAATAAACCAAAGCAAAAAACACAATAGTACTTACATTCTGCCAACATGCCTACTGCTTTACACTTTTTCAGTCTGCACTCTTGACATTTTCTACGCATATACATGTCCATTTCACAATGACCACCATTCTTGCAACTATATACTGCATTTTTGGTAATGCTACGTCGAAAAAAACCTAACAATAAAATTTTTCAGATTTTATCATAAGTATTTTTAATTGTCATTATTACTAATATATACTGTTATAGTAAATAATTAAGTTAACTAAATTACTTCAATTAAATTTTTTTCTCTTGATAAAAAGGTTTTGCTTAATATGCATTTATCTGGAAAACTGATCTTTTCCTAATTGATCTATTCTATCCCAACATTGTGTCTTTAAATAGTCACACCTGATAATTAAACTAAATAATTCTATCACATTAAGAGACTCTAGTTTTACAATAGTTATAATGTATCATCTAAAAGCCTTTTTAAAACTTTTATAGATAATCAAATTCCCCTGAAGCATCTCTCACTGCTCTCTTGAAAGAATATGTGATCAGGTAAATAAAACCATAAGAAAAACCTTTTTTCTCATACTTTCATACCTGCCCATATCCCATCACCCCCACCACCACCACCTTTGTTATTGTACTTCCCCCAGTGAGAAAGTGCTGCTGGTTTGGTTTAAGACATTAAAGAGTTCATAATTGGTAGAAGGAAGGAAGGTTTTCTATTTCACTTCCTAAATCCTTGCAAAAAAACAGTTCCTCTTCCCATTTCCTCCTTTATTTCTTGTTCTATGCCAGTTCCTGCCCTCTTCCTCTTCTTTCCATTTCAAACAGTGAAGTTACTAAGCTTAGTCAGTGCCCTCCTTAAAGCCCTGCCATATGCTCTTGAGAATATGAGTTCCATGGCTTAGATTCAACAGAGTAAAAGTCTTAGTTTAGGTTTTCAGAACTACGCCTCATTTTTTAACCTAATTTTAATAGCAAAACCCTGCATTTCAAGAGTAGGCACACATTTGCCCCACTGTTCTATTTACAAAGCTCATTCCTTGTGGTCTTCATTTGGCTATTCTTTGAAGGGATAGGTTGAGAGTTTTCTGAGAATAAAACTTAACTTGACCTCTAATTAATATCTATACCTATACCATATTGGCCTAATCATTTCTAGATTCAGTCCTAACCCTGTACTTTTGATTTTTTTTTCCAGTGCTAAAATTCAAATCCAGGGCCTTGTATTTATGCTAGGCAAGTGCTCTACCTGCGGAGCTACATCCCCAATCCTGCATTTATGAATTTAAAAGTGCAAGAGTACTTCAAAACTGTTCAAAATCAAAGACTGTTTCATTCTTTGCAGATGTCAGTTTTGGTCTTCACTTTCAGACCTTCAATTTTTCTTCAAAAAAGTATTTCAAGATAAGAATGGTGGCACAGGCCTGTATCCCAACTTCTCAGGTGGCTGAGACTGTAGGTTCACAAGCTGGAGGCTAGCCTGGGCAATTTAGTGAGACTAAATTATATCAAAAATTAAATTATAAAAGGGTAAAAGAGGCTAGGGATATAGCTCAGTGGTAGAACACTTGCCTAGGATATGTAAAGTCCTGGGTTTGATTCCCAGCATCACACACACACACACACACACACACACACACACACAGAAATAGAAAAGAAAAATAGGCTTAGAATATTGAAAGTCACTTAATTCAAATCCCCTCCAAATGCATAACTTACATCAACCACATAAAAAGAAATAATGTTTAACATTCAAATCTTTTTCAAAGATCTATTCCAGCATCAGATTCTTCTAGGAATATGAAATCTTTCTGTTATATTAATATTGAATTTTATATTTAAATGTAAAAGCCCTTAGCAAAAATGAAAAGAAAACTGAACTTAAATTTTATATTTTATTTTTATGTCTTTGATACCACTGATTGATCACTTTAAACATGCCATGGCTCATTCTGATTTGGTTTTTCACACTTTAAAAGGAAAAGTATTCTCATATGTCTAGGATGTCATGGCTCTTCAGTGAACACTAAGATTTCAAGTTTCTTTTAACTTTATCCTTACCTTTGCAACCTTCACAAGTAAGTGCATTGTAATGATATCCTGATGCCTTATCACCACAAACTACACAGAGTTCTTTCTGTCCCTTCATTTGCAAAGAACAAGTTGGCTTGGACATTTTTATTCCAGGGTATCCATCTTCAACATTGTGAGCAACCACATAAGTGGTTTTATTTAATTCACAAGAATCAAGTCCACACTGTCCATCACCACTGTACTGTGGATCCAAGCCATAGGTGTTGAAATGGCTTTGTAAAGATTGGGATTGGAGAGCCGGAGGAAACTGAGCTGTAGAATACTGGCAATGAGGTGATTCTTGAAAATCAGTGTTGTGCAGCTGATAATCAATTTGTTCTGGCAAAATATCTAGTTTTATTTTTTTAAAAAAGAGCAAATAGTAAAAAGTCAAAATTTCTTAATTTATTTTCAAATTTCAAAATATTTCATGCTCAACAAAGAGTTTAACATTCCTACTATGTCCCATTGCAATATATTGATAAATGTCACCATCCCAGAGATACGCAGAGGTTGATCAGGAGCTAAAGAAAGGGTAAAGTTTCCTAATGGCTCATATACCCATTCCATCTCCCTTCTTAGTAGAAGAATTTGAAATGGAAGAAGAGTTTCCTTATCTTCTACATTTTCCTTGTCCCACTTATACTGGTCTTAGGGCAAATAGGTCAGAAACTATGTGAATTAATAAGTTATTCCACCCTCAAAAAAAAAAAAGAAAGAAAGAAAGAAAAGCTAACATACATTTTTAGCTTATATGGTTAAGAAATGTTTTTGTTTGAACTTCTCATTTAATATATCAATACTCTCCTTTGTCACTTATAGCCTAACTTAAATTACTATTTTCTTTTTTGTTCTGGTGTTTATCTGGGGAAAAATTTACCTACCTTGCAGGATTATATAAGAATGAAATTTTTAAAAAAGAATTAAATAAAATATGATAGTTAAAAGCATATATAAACTATAAATTGACATCTGTTGTATATCATTATTATTATCAGAAGTTCCCAAACACCAACTTACTTCCTGCTTTTGTTAGAATTATTGATTTAAATCCAAAATATTGGCTCCAAAAGAACCCCAGGATACTTAGTTGCTCCATGTCTGTAACTAGTAATAGTTGTACTTTTCCTGGTGCTTAATCACCTGGTGATAAGACTTATTCTTACCAAAAAAATTTTACTACAAAGATTGGTAAACAGTACAATTTCTATTGTTTCGTATAAGTCATTTACAATCTTAGAGCATCCAATACAACTCTAAAGGTTGAATGAATACTAAATAGCCTGATATAAGAAGAAAAGTTATCAGTAAAACAATGTAGGCTTAAAGAAGAAGAAGAAAGAAGGAGGAGGAAGATGAGAAGGGAAAGACCCTTCTTGGATGACAGACAAAACAAACAAAAAAAACTGTCTTTTTCACCCCAGTAGAATACTACCTAATGTTCCATTTTCATGGAAAACAGTTTAAATTACTTTTTGAAAATGGCAAGATGAAATTTTTATTATTGCCTTGGTCTTTTTGTAAAAAATAAAATAAAAAATCTTTTGTCTCTGCATTGTTTTCTTTCTTTCCCTTTTACAAGAATCTTACATTAGGACTAAAATGTCAAGTATGCTAAATAATAATAAATAATAATAAAATTTCAATTTACTAAACTGCATAAAAACTAGCTTCAACTAACTCCTAAAAATAACTCCAATTTTTTAATTGAATATGATTTTAAACTGTTACATCTTTTCCTCTTTACCTTTGATTCTGGACTAACAATATATTACTGGTTTTTAAAATTATTTTTTCCTGTAGAAGATTATTTATTCATTTGTTACTTTTTAAAAAAAATCTTTAATTAACCATAATTCCTATAAAAATATTTATTGACTATTTTACTGTAGTTCTTTGTTACATACCATAGTACTGCATAGGGTCAGCAAGACAGTACCCATCAAATGTAGTAACATAAGTGTTTGCCATTCTCTGGTACAATTCCCACTGCTTCATTCACTTCAGGCAATGCTGAACTTTTCAGAATCAAACCTGAAGAAACAAAAATTTCACAGATTATTTGAACAGATGATTGTTAAATCAGTATCATCTGATAGTATAGTGTACTTTTAAAAAATAGTTTAGCAGAATTTATGCATAATTTATATTTATACTTTAATTGACAAAATGATGATTTTCGTATCTCTAAGCATCAACTTATTTAATTTTTGCCAATTTCTTATTGCTCAGCTGTTTACAAATAACTTAATAAATTTTGGTAGGTAATCATCATTATCAGCTATAAAGTTATTTGTAAAAGCGTAGCAAGTTTACTGGGCTGGAGTCATAGCTCAGTGGTAGAGTGCTTGCATAGCATGTGTGAACCACTGAGTTAAATCCTCAACACCACATAAAAATAAATAAATAAAATAAAGGTATTGTGTTCGTCTACAACAAAAATGTATTTTTTAAATACCAAATTTATTGTTATTTATAAATGTATTAAGCTTACTAATTATTATTATATTAAGCTTATTTGTATATTTGTTTTAAAAAAGCTTTCAAGTTAGGCCTCATAGATTGCTTTCCCCACTCACTTATGGGATTATTAATTCTGCCTGAGGCTGGGGATATAACTCAGTGGTAGAGTACTTGCCTAGCATGTGGAAGGCCTTGGATTTGATACCCAGTATCTCCCTGATCCTTAGGTTTCTCATTTGTAAAAGTAGTAAAGCCCTATGACAAAATTGTTAGGAGAGTTTAATTAGTGTATTAAAATCCAACACAATTCTTGGCAATGATTGATTTCTAAATTATTATTCTAAATAGAGATGAATTAGGAAGAAAATTTCAACTTTTTTATAATTATAGAAGAAATTAAAGAATAGGAAATCAATAACTTTTTAGCACTTTTTTTTATCATCTGAGTTCTTTGTAAATATTTTCATAGCACTGTGGTATGCTAAATATTAAAACATTAATTTTGGTTCTGCTTAACTAACAACAATTCGTTACCAATAAAAGTGTTTTAATTGTAAAACCTAAAAATTGTAAGTTATCATGAGAAAAATTTTTAAAATATAAGACTATCCTTATAGGAAAACTATTTTTGTTATTTTCCAGGAAGGAACTCAAAAAGATTACATCTTTGAATAGAATTAAACAGGAAATCCCAGTTTAAGAAATTGGAAACTATTGTAAGAAAATAAAGATCACTATAGAGGCCACTGTTTATAGCTTTATGCTGTCCATTAGAAGACAAAGATTATTTTCCATCTTTAAAATGAAACAAAAATGCTGGGCATAGTGGTGCATGCCTATAATCCCAGTGGCTCAGGAGGCTGAGGCAGGGGGATCATGAGTTCAAAGGCAGCCTCGGCATTTTAGTGAGGTCCTATGCAATTTAGTAAGACCCTGTCTCAAATTTTAAAAAGAGCAGAGGGGATGTGCTGAGTTGGGAATGTGACTCAGTAGATTCAATCCCTGGCACAAAGAAGAAGAAGGAGAAGAAGGGGCTTTAAATAATGCTAAAAGGTATACACACATGAAAAACTTCTGAGATAGCTTCTGAGATGATTGGATAACGTTTTACTTTGATTTATTACTAATGTGTAGATTCATGACTAAGATTTATATATCCATGAAGGTGATTAAATAGTAATATCTCCGAAATTTGTTTCCTTTATCATTTAATAGGATCCAGGTTCCTTTAAAAGCATTTGAATTTTCCAGTCCTCTACTGGCATAACAGTCATGTACAGTATATATTGGATGGAACAGCAGGAACAAGATCAGTGCCCCAAACAGCAGTGAACTTTCAACATGAAGTTTCCCTTGAAAAGTAAGGACTAATGTCAATCCGATCACTTAGTACATACTTCTCTTTTTCCTCTACTAAAACAAGTCAATTCTGAATGCTATTGGTTTAATTTTAATTTGTTTCGTTCTTCCCAAGCTTTTCTTCTGAGTTTCAATTAGATCTTAGAAAATTACAAATGAACATGAAAATTTGAAGTTGTTATTCTCTCTCCTTTTAAATTTGCTGAATTTACCACTAAACTTCACATAATACAGTGTTAAATATCTGAAGGAGACTGAAAATTAAAATAGCATTCAGTACTGTTTAGAATCAGACTCTGCTGACTGAGAGTTTATTTGAAAATAATATAGAACAAACCAGAAGTAGTACATTAAACAAAACTGGCAATATATGGTAATACATACTAACAATCACATAAAGATCTTATGGTAATGTCACTGTCAAGGTTAATATTGTAAATTACAATATTCTAAAACCAAGTCCTTCTAATAATGGTAAATAAGTGTGTTAAAATGTTATCTTTCACAGATCTGTTTTTATAAGCTTATGGACTAGTTTTACTCCAGGTTATATATGGGACATATACAAAAGTAAGCCTCTGGTAAAAAGATACCTTTTAAAATATGAAATTTCTATCTTTTTTACAAGATCTCATTAATATTTGCACTATTATTAACGTAAGATTTTCGCTAAATTTTTTCAGTCTTTTAAATGTTTAACAGAAATACTATAATACATGTGCATAATAAAATAAACCTTTCAAAATATTCATGAAATTAGTCTAAAAACATTTCAGCAAACTATTAATAATACAGAGCAGTATATAATCAAAAATTTCCTATTCTATTAAAAAGAAAAGCTTCAATGGCTCTGAAATGGTTCTGTTTTATTATCTTTCCTAGTAAATATTTATTTAAAATAAAATAACTTCATTAGAAGAGGATTTTTTATCAAGAGGTTCAACTTGACATAGACAAAGTCTATGCTTTTTCTGTGACAAATATAACTTTAATAAAATCTGTGTTTTTCACAGATTGTAATGGTTATTTACTGAATAAATGCTTAATTCTATAAATAAATTTGCATTTCCTCCTCCTTAATCAAAACCGTTCTCAATTAACTTTCAAATAGCTAGTTTTGAAAGGAAAAACATCGATTCCTGAAAACTAAATCTACATGTTAGAGAATTTCTCATTTTTTACATTTTACATTACATTTGCAATACAAGTCACTTGAATAATGAATAAATGAATCACATGGATTGATACAATTGAAAACTAGATTGCTTCAAAAGAAAAACAGTTTTCATAGTAGCCTCTACTAAAAGTGATACATAATTATAAAAACATTTTTCATGGAAGTGTTATTCTTTGATATATAATTATAAAAAGGTTTTTTTATGGTAAGGCTTCTTTGAGCTAAAATTCTCTAGTCAGAGCTTATTGGAGCCAAGGAAAATGAAAAGAATATATTTGAACAACACAAATTAAGGTCCACTGGTTCCTTTATAAGAGTTAATACTTTAGAATATAGAGGACTTTTGACACCGTATAGTCTTCATATACTTTTTTACAAGCAGCTGTAACGAGATCTTATTATAAAATTGCTCTTTTAAAGTATACACTTCAAGAACATTCAGAGTATGCAACTATTACCACCACCTAATTCCAGAATACTTTAATCACCCCCAGAAGAAATCCCATATCCATTAGCAGTCACTCCTCTCTCCCTCTTCTCCTTAGTACCTGATAATCACCATTCTATTTTCTCCATGGATTTGCCTATTATAGACTTTTCACATAAATTGATTCATACAATTTTATATACAGCTCTAAATTTAAAAAGTTTTTAATTAATATTATGTCAAGTAATTTTCATAACTTAAGAAAGACAGCAAAAAGAGAAAATAGACTAATAGAAAAATAAAAGGCTATGAAATTAGTATTTTATATCCATTTCCCAAGTAGGATAATTTTTATAACTATAACTTAATAGCATTTTCAAGAGCTATAATTCCCTAAATATACATTTATCACAATATTTCTCATGCTGTTTTGTTTTGGCTTTGGTTTTTTGTTTGTTTGTTTTGTTTTGTTTGGCAGTTCTGAGGATTAAACTCAGGGCCTTGGGCATGTTAAGAGAACTATACCACTGAGCTATATTTCCAGCCCCGTTTCATGTGTTTTGAACTTATATACAAACTAATGTTTCAAAAAAAAAGGATAATGTTGATAAGCTATTTTTAAAAGAACTTAACTTCAATTTTTAAATTTTTTTTTTTTTAATTTTTAACATGGTGCTAAGGATTGAACCCAAGCCCTCACCTGTGCCAGGCAAGCACTTTACCACTAAGCTACAACTCCAGCCTCTCAATAAGCTCTTGATTTAAAAACAAGTTATCTTTAGTAAATATTACAATAAAGATTGTGGAATAACTTAGGTTATTGTATCAAATGTCAACTAAAGTCCAACTATAATCCAAAGTTGGCTTGACATTCTTTAAGAGAAAACCAAATTAGTATATATTCTACTTTCCTTAATTAAATGTCTTTTTTAGGGAAAATGCTTTTCATGTAGTAACAACAATCAGCTTACTCAAACTTGCAAAAATTAATTTTCAATAGTGGAAATTAAAGATTTCAAAAATACCATTATTAACATCTTACAGTTTAATAATAGTAAACTGCCAAAATAATAACATTCATATTTAACTTAGCATAAAATTATAAAATTTTCTCATTTTTAAGAAGACAAAATACTCACATTTAGGTGATATTACTAAAGACTGTCTTTTTCCTCACACAATGAATACAGAGAGATTTAGCAACTACTTCACTCTTCAGTAGGAGCAAACTGGGCCTTTTCCCTATTTATCAAGGGTAGAGAGGGGGACACTGCATACACTTAGGCTCCAGACACTCTGCAGAGCAGTTCTTCAGCACTATCTCAAAGACAAACTTCCCACACAGTCCTCTCTTGGGTCAAAACAAGGGCAATTACAGGCTGACATAAATTTTAAAAAATAACCAGATTGTCAGGGATAGAGGCCTTTGGGACCTTAAGGTCATATTCTCCTAGAGTTCCTTATTATTGACTTAATAAATATTTTGTTTTCTTTATTGAGTTTGACATTCTTCCACTTTGTTTACAAAACATTGGTCTCCACAAGCTAGCAAGAATATGGTAAGTGAGGAACAGCCTCATTAATTGTCTCTCCATTACTACAGGTGTTGTGACAATCCAACTTTGAAATTTAATTTTGAATTGCCTACAGATAAAGAAGTTGCTTAACCAATTAGAAGTATGAATAACAATTCATAAACTGATATAATGTTAGATGTGTACAAGTTATGTAATCCACATGTCTTTTTTAGGTGTGGAGCTAACAGAAAATTGCAACACAAATATATGTGTATTACTACTTGTTCAATATCTCAGAGCTAATTATAGCAGAGTTGAAACTATGAAAACCCAAACACTTTAACAGAATATGTAAATAACTTCATTATAGTTTTTTAAGATGTCACTTATGTAAATAAATTCTGTTGGATACCAGTAGGCTTATAGTCTCATTTCTTTAAGGCATTCCTAAGGAGGCACCGTTATAAAAGAGTTCTGCCACTAAACTTTAATTTTCCTAGTCACATCTCCTCTGACCTGGTGACTTACCTGTTTTGTCTAATTCTAAACTTTAGTCCCAGCCCAGTTTCTGACTTTGTAACAACTATATTCATGCTGATTCTTCAAGAGCCCTCATCTACTACAAGGAAGAGTTTATGATAAAATCATGATAAAATTTGCCATGAAGTCATGTATACATTTTAATAATGGGCCCTGTATCTAAAAATTTTTAAATATATGAACCAAAGAATAATGATCATAGCATTATAATTCATTTGTATTGATGCTAAAATATTATTGAAATAGACTCAGAATTATATCTTAAAAGAATTAACACTCTACCAGCAACCTTACATTGAAAAACAGCAAAAATATAGTACTGAAAATTTTTTAAAGCAACGCTTAATTTCTAAAGTATTTGGCAGGAACATTTATTTAGTTCTTTGTTTGTTTATTTTTACTGGCAATAAAACCCAGGGGCACTTTACCACTGAACAACATTTCCAGTCCTTTCTGATTTTTACTTTGAGACAGGATCTTGCTAAGTTGCTTAGGCTGGCCTCAAACTTGTGATCCTCCTGCCTCATCCTCCCAACTGTCTGGAATTACAGGCATGTGCCACCGCACCTGACTCCAAAAACATTTATTTCTAAAGGGAATACATTTTTGAAAAAAAAAATTTAGCCCTTTAATTATTAGCATATAAGTATCAGCACTAATTTTTAAATTACTTTTACTGTTTGGATAATTCCCAGTTTGAACCTCTACCTAGAAGCAGAATTGTCAGTTTCTGTATTCAAGTGATGTACCTTCAAATACTAAATAAACTATTTATTAATTCATATCATCTTGATGACTCATACGCTCATTCCCACACCAACACTGCCTAAAATTAGTTTGAAATCATTATCACATAAATAATTTGAGTGAATGAAGCCTGTACAATAAACTTCTTTAGAAACCCAAAGTATTGTTATGACCATTATCTTTAAGCTAGAAATATACATACCTGGAACTATTGTTACAAATAATGTAATTCCTTAAGACCCAGGTTATATCTGAGATATTCCAATTCAATGATAATCAGCTTCCTTTAGTTTTACAAAGGATAATTCATTCAGAATTATGCAGTTTCTAATTTCAAAAGTAATTATGCTGGTATTCAGGGGGAAAAAAAAACAGTGAAAATAGAACATATTTTAAAATTCCACACAGGCTCCTACCACCTGAGCATGCGGGTTTTGTTTTGTTGTTGGTTTTTTTTTTCCAGTATGGGGATTGCCCCCAGGAATGCTCTTCCACTAAGATACAGCCCCAGCCATTCCCGCCCAGTTTTTTGTTTGTTTGTTTTTGTTTTTTTGTTTTGTGTTTTTGAGACAAGGTCTCACCAAGTTACACAATCTGGTTTTGAACTCGTGATTCTTCTGCCTCAGCTTTTCAAGTCATTAGAATTACAGGCATGCCACCACACTGGCCATGATCATTCTATTTATAATCATACAGTTCACTGATATACAATAATATGAATAAAAGAGAAATCTTTTGAAGTTTATTTTTATACTATTACTCAGTACACAGCTATCCTCAATAGATACATACTACTTAAGATAAATATTAACACTATTGGCCTGGAGTTGTAGCTCAATGGTAGAGTGCTTGCCTAGCATGTGTGAGGCACTGAGTTGGATTCTCAGCACTGCATATGATTAAATAAAATAAAAGTCCTTCCACAACTAAAAAATTTTTTTAATATATATTAACTCTGTTGCCTTCCAGCGAGATTCTAAAAAGTTACAAGTGTAATCCACTTGTTTTATTTATTTACTTTTAATATTATTTGACTAATGAATATGTAGAAATATCTCACTGTAGTTTTGATTTGCTTTTCTCTCATGATTGAACATCTTTTCATTTACTTATTTGCCACCTGCATTTTCTCTTTTCCCTGTTTTCTAATTGGATTGTTCATATTTTTACTATTGACTTTTGAGATTTCTTTATATATTCTTTATAGTCTTTTACCACAATTTTCCCCAGTCCATCCTTTTTACAGGTTTTTTGAGGGGGTTTTTTGGTTTGTTTTTGTTCTTTGTAATCAGGACTGAGAATAGGGGTCTTTTACCTTTGAGATAGGATCTTGCTAAATTTCTAGGGGGAGGTCTTGCTAAACTGCTGAGCCTGGCCTTGAACTTTCGATCATCCTGCCTGGGCCTTCTGAGTCACAGGATTACAGACATGCACCACTGCATCCAGCTTCACAGGGCCTTTTGCAGAGCAAAAGTTTTTAATTTTTTTAATTTTTATTTTTTATTTATATATGACAATGGAATGCATTACAATTCTTATTAAACACAGCACAATTTTTCATATCTCTAGTTGTATACATAGTATATTCACACCAATTTGTGTCTTCATACCTGTACTTTGGATAATAATGACCATCACATTCCACCATCATTAATAATGCCATGCCCCCTCCCTTGCCCTCCAATCCCTCTGCCCTATCTAGAGTTCATCTATTCCTCCCATGCTCCGACTCCCTATCCCATTTTGATGAACTTTAATTTATGAAATTATTCTCTTGTGGAACCTACTTTGAATGTTAAAATCTAAGAACTCTTTGCCTACTCCTAAGTCCTAAAGACTTTTCCTACATTTTAAAACTTTTCTTCTTTTTACTTTTTTGTAGTTGTAGATGGATAAAATACCTTTATTTTATGTCTTTTATTTTTATGTGGTGCTGTGGATTGAACGCAATACTTCACACATGCTAGGCAAGTGCTCTACCACTGAGCCAAGACTCTCTCATCCACATTCTTTAAGCTCTCTTTGGCCTTTCCTAGCTATTCCTACAAAGTTCTCACTGCAACCACCATCTTCTCCCTGCAGCAGGCTTCAGAGGTATTGTTTTTAATTTCAGCTACTTCATGTTCATTGTTAGTGCATAGAAATGTGTTTCCGTTTTTTTTTTTTTTCTGTGTTCCCTTGAATCTTGCAGACTTCCATTTTTAATGGAAAATCAATTCAATTTTGGACATGCTGAGGTTTAAACATTCATGAAGCATCTAGAATGTCAATGGAAGTATTAGATATTTGAATCTGGAATTTAGAAAAGAGGTTAGACTTAATAATCAGGAAGCTTTCAAGATATTGATGAACTTTAAAGCCTTAGAGACATCTAAGAACACCCAGGAAAAAAGAAAGAAATAGTAGGACATGACTTGAGGAACTCTAATATTTAAATGTTGGCTTGATAATGACATTAGAAAATAGATTAGGTAGCATGAAAGGTAGAATTTTAAAAGATCAAAACAAAGTTTCAAAGAAAGAAGGGGAAAATAAGTTCCACAGAAAAGGTACGCCACAATAAGCTAAGTACGATGAGGAAAGAAATACGTATGTAAATAATATGTAGAAAGAATTTTCTACTGAGTTTTGTAATATATGTTATTACTGGTTGTAGTTGTTAGAACTTATTTCAGAAACATGAAGCAAAAATTCAATTGAATCCAAGTAGGGATCTGTTCCCATCCCCAAAACATAAATTGGGATATACAAAGCTAATAGCATGGATTGGTAGTCTGTTTCTCTGTAAGTTCCTGGGACTTTCTGTCATGGTTGCAAGATGGGTATCTGTGCTGTATCTTTGCTCAAGACAGAAAGGGAAAAATGGGCAGTGCCATCAACATATGTCTCTTTATCACAAATAGAAAAATCTGAAGTTAATTCAGATAGAACCAGACATGGCTAATGTGAGAAAAGCTAATTTTTCTGTTTTTGTGCCAGAGATTGAACCCAGGGGTGCTTCATCACTGAGCCACATCCTCAGCCCTTTTAAATTTTTATTTGAGACAGGTTCTCACTAAGTTGCTTAGGGCCTGGCTAAGCTGCTGAGGCTGGCCTCAAACTTGCAATCCTCCTACCTCAGCCTTTCAAGTCACTGGGATTGCAGGTGTACACCGCCACACCTGGCAGAACTCTTCTTTTCTAAAGCTCCATGCCTGTGTGTGAGGGTCAGACCTGTAGAATCAATGCTATGACCCAAGTATGATCACATGCTTGACTGCATGTGAGCTCCTGAAGGTGGGACTGCTTCAGCCCATGAGGTAGTGCCACCCTGTTTGGGAATGCTTAAGAATGGAAATTTTTAATAACTAGACCTAGCATGTGCTATAAAGTATTAGGAAAATTGACTAATCACAAAAAAGTAAAGTTATATCACATTTCATTATTCGTCCTTGGACAT